AAGAGGGGAAGCTGCAGCTGCTTATTGAGAGGGGCCAGGTGCATGCAGACAGCAGAGCAGTCCCCAGCCTATCCGTCCCTATGCCTCTGCTCCCACCTGGCATTCAGCACCCTAGTCATCCTCCTCCCCAGAAAGGCACCCATCCCCACCTCCTCCCAGCCAGTCCAGCTGCCCCGGGGCTGCTCCCTCCCACCCCTCCATCACACCGATTCCTCTGCTCTGCCTGGACACCGGCCTCTCCTCCGTTACCTTAAAAAGCATTTAAACGGATTCTGCCCATGGGTCTCCCAAGAGAGTGAATTGGCTTCTGCGATGGCTGTTCCTCCTCCCCCACTCCCAAGCCTACACCATGCAGGCAGCTCCAGCCAAACCTGCCCTCCTGGGGAGCCTCCGCCACCCCATCTATCCACAGCTCCCGCCCACCTCTGACTCACAAGAGTGGCCCTGGCAACCAAACCCAGCTATCCTATTGGCTGAGCTGGACACAAAGCCCTCTCTATGGCATCCCCATTGCAAGCAGGAGGCTGGGCGGGCCCCAGGCTGCTGGGGGGCAGAGTGGAGGCTGCCCATGGGGCACGAGGACCAGGCTCTGCTCACTCTGCACCCAGCTATCGATTTGCTGACAGGCTGTCAGCTGATCTCTCCGACTGCCTGACAAGCAGGCAGGCAGCAAAGCTCTGGCAAGAAGCCACTCGCTCACCCGGCCCTAGTGCAGAAGTAGCAGGAGCAGGGGTCACTGGAAAGTCCCAGGGGGAGAGGAACTGGGCCAAGGAGGGCTTGGGGGGGGAGGGGGAGGGACAAAGGCCTTCTGCAGCTTAAGCCCGGGGCATCCGCCAGCATGGTATTTCTTTGAATCACAACGTGCTGCCTTGAGTCATCCTAGAGGGGCGCGGCTCCGTGGGCTGACTGCACCCGTGCTGTAATGCTGTTGAGTTCGGTGGCTTGACGCCGAGGGAATCTCTCTGGGCTCGGATTGCTTCCAGTCTTCGGAGCCTCCCAGCCCTGGGGCAGCGTCTCAAAAATCCCCGGATGCGCCGGGAACGAGCTCCCGGGTGTTTCGGGATAACACACGACCCTCGCTGTCCGAAGGGCGTTTCTGGCTGCGGGAGCTCCAAGAGCAAGTTCCAGCTGGTTACCAAGCGGGGCCACGGCCATGCACAGAGCAGCACGGTCCTTCCCCATCCTCAGTTTTTACTGCTGTTACTACTGGGCACCCAGCAACCTTAACTGTCCTCCTCCCCGAACACCCAGCTCTCCCAAAAGGTTCCCCCATCCATCCCTGCACCTTTGGCCCCCAGGCCATCTGGACAGGCTCCCTCAAGCCTGATTCCTCTGCTCCTGCTTTGGTCGGCGTTTTGCAATCCGTTCAGTCTGCGCCGGGACCAAACCTCTCTGTGTTAGTGTCACATCGGCCCGAGGTGTTAGGGATGCAGCTAGAGGACAGAGACAGATCCTTCCATGTCCCTCTACGCCCACTTAGTGCTGCTGGCTCCCTGACGCTGACCTCTCTTAGCTGCCGCCAACCTTTCAAACGTAAAAAGCTGGTCCTCTAAGCTTTAGGACCCTACCAGATTCATGGCTATGAAATCTGGCCTTTCGTGGGCTTTTACCCAACCCCCTTCCGATTGCACAAGGGAAACCAGCGTTTTGGGCCCTGACCCAAAAGGGAGGTGCAGGGTGGGGGGGTCACAAGCTAATTTCAGGGGTGCGGTGGCATTGCCACTCTCACTTCTGGGCTGACTTCAGAACTGGGCAGCTGGAGAATGGTGGCTGCTGGCCAGGTGCCCAGCTCAGAAGCGTGGCAACACCATATCATGCCACCTTTAGTCCTTTGGTGCTGCCTTCAGAGCTGGGTGGCTGGACAGTACTGGCTGCGGACTGAGGAGGGCCCAGCTCTGCAGGCAGCAGCGCAGAAGCAAAGGTGGCAATACTATACCACACCACGCCATCCTTGCTTCTGCACTGCTGCTGTGGGTGGCTCCGCCTTCAGAGGTGGGCTCTGGGCCAGCAGCTGCCTCACTCCAGCTGCCCAGGTCTGAAGGCAGTGCCACCGCCAGCAGCAGAGCAGCAGGGTAACCGTACCGCAGAATGCCCCCCACGCAAATCCTCTGTGAGCCAGACCCTCTGCCATTACACAACTGTGAAACTTCCGATTTAAATCGCTATATTCACCACTTTTACAGTTTTTAAAACCCTGTGATCATTAAAAACAATGTGCAGTCCTGGGGCACCTTAAAGACTAACAAACTTATTTAGGCATAAGTTTTCATGGGCAGGAATTCACTTTGTCAAAGTAGGCTCCAGCCCACAAAAACTCATGCCCAAATAAATGTGTTAGGGTACGTCTACACTAGCCCCCAGATCGGATATTGAGGGCGACCGAAATTGCAAATGAAGCGTGGGATTTAAATATCCCGCGCTTGATTTGCATGTTCCCAGCTGGTCACCATTTTTAGAAACTGACTAACCCGAAGTAACTGTTCGCATCTACACACAGCAGTGAAACAGGATTCCGAAATAAAGCCCTAAATCGAATTAGCTGGTAAGCCTCATTGCAGGAGGAATACCAGCTAATTCGATTTAGGGCACGTGTAGACACAGGCGGTTACTTCAGGCTAGTCAATTTCTAAAATGACGACTGGCCGGGAACATGCAAATCAAGCACGGGATATTTAAATCCCGCGCTTCATTTGCAATTTCGGTCACCCTCATTAGCCTCCCTAGATCGATCTGGGGGCTAGTGTAGACATACCCTTAGTCTTTAAGGTGCCACAGGACTCCTCGTTGGTTTTCCTGAAACAGACTAACACAGTGACCTCTGAAACTTATGATCATTAAATTGCCCAAAATGGACCATGAATTTGACAGTGCCCTAAACATAAGGAAGTACTTCTTCACACAACATACCGTCAACCTGTGGAACTCATTGCCACAGGATGTTATGAAGCTCAGCTGTATAGCTGGGTTCTAAAAAGACTTAGGTAAATTCATAGAGGATAGGTCCACCAATCGCTATTAGCCAAGCCCATCAGGGATGTAAATCCCATGTTTTGCTTATTCCTAAACCTCTGAGTACCAGATGCTGAGACTGGATGATAGAGGAGGGATCACTTGGAATGAACAAACCAGGACAATTTACCATCTGAAACCTCTGGCACTGGCCACTGTCAGAAGACAGGATACTGGGCTAGGTGGACCTTCTGATCCAATTATGGCTGTGTGACTTCATAATAAACCCTCTAGCCAAGGCATGCGGTTTACCTTAGGTTGGGTGGAAGGAATGCAGACACCCATTTCTCTCCACAGTCAAAGAATGAAACGCTGTTTAAGTACAGGATAGAGACACGGGGAATCTCAAGGCCTCGTGTAGGTTCTGAACCTGACTCAGTTTGTGGCCATCCCCCTCTATGCCTCAGTTTCCCCACTGGGGATATAAATACTTCCCTGCCTCCCAGGCACGTTGGACGGATAGGCTCTGTAACAGATGCAACCATCTCCTTGGAAAACCTTACTTAATTAAGTGAAGATGTGACCCACACAACTAGTAGAGTACTTTACCAGGTAGTGGCACTGATACCACTTACAGAGAGAAAGAATGAGTTTGCTTTACAGCCTTAGCTGAGAGCCTGTTGGCTTTTAACTCAAGCGATAGAGGCCCATAGTCCCAAGTTCATAAAGAGCTGCATGATAACCTGGGTCAGCCGGCAATTACAGCTGTTCATAACCTTCTGAGAGAAAGCCAAACACAGACACTGGCTGTTTAGACCAGTGCTTCTCAACCAGTGGTACGAGTACCCTTAGGGGTACTCAAGAGAAGTCTGGGGGGTATGTCAACACAACTGAAATTTGGAGAAAACTGAATTTTTGTGTTAAGTTTTACAGCGCTTTATTATTTATTTATTTTTTACACCCAAAAATTTCAGCGCCCACCTAGCTACGATTAAGTAGTTTAAACAAATGTATTGCAATGGTAGAAAAAAAATGTGCGTATCTGAAAAATGTAGGTACTTGGGGTACTTATAAATTTTTTTTAAAAAAACAGGGTACTTATCTTTTTTTTTAAGGGGTACTTCATAAAAATAGGTTGAGAAACACTGGTTTAGACAGTCTGGCTTGCTGGGGATGTCCAAGTGTAGGCACATAACTGTGCAGCCCAGAAAAAACCTGGTCAGGAGGGAGAGAGACACTAGTCTCTATCCAAGAGAGGTGACGAATGCAGAGCTGAGAGCCTAGATGGGCTGCCCGGAGTAGACCACGAAGGTGGACTACAGATGCAGATACAGAACTGCTCATCTGTGTTTTCAAAGCCCGAAACATTGCTAAGGTGCATACTCAGACACCCAAATATTGTTATCCGGTCTAAGTTATTTTCCTCTCCTCCAGCTCCATATGAGCCCTGACCTCTCCATAACCCAGTGGTTATGACTAACAGGAAACCCAAAACTGCTCATTCCAAATTCAAACCATTCCCGAGTCGAGGAGAATCTGCACCCGAGGGAAGTGGAGACGAAAATACGAGGAAGTTCTGCTAGCCGTTTATCTCCCAGTGACTCTGTTCTCCTCTCTCCTGCCTGGGGACCTTGAAATGCAGCTGAGAGATAAACAGAAGGCCCTGATTATGGTGATTTCTAGCCTTGGAGGAACCCTCCTTGCAAGCTAGTTCGTCAGTACATTTCAGACGAAAGCAACTTGTACTAGCCGTTTGGTTTGCTCTGAATAAGAGGGTGAGCCCACTGCAAAGCGGTGACAATTGACAACAGCCCCTTCAAACCCAGACAGGGCCAGACATCACACTTGTCTCCGTGTCAGAAACGTGGCCAGAACAGTCCCCATGGGCCATGGAAACGGCTCAGGCCCCAGTTAGAAGAAAAAGGCTTAGAAAGAGACATCGTCCCCCGCACTCCCACACAGCAAGTTACTCAGTTCCTCTGCCATGCTGAATAACACTGATGTAGTAAAATGAGAGCCTGAAACACGTAGCACAGGCCTGGTGTGAGGTCTGAGGCCTGCCTACCTATGATCAGGCCTTTGCCAATATAAAGCAAAGCTAGCTGCTACAACAGAGAGCTGTTCTGGACAGACTGGTCCAGAGCTCTACCTCCATGTGGCAAAGAGCCATATGAACACAGGTGCGAGAGCTCTCTCATTCCTCGCCCCCCTGCCTTCCTAGCCAGTTGCTGCTAAGCCAGATGGTCACAGTTCTCAGCTGCTTTCTTATCTGCCAGGTGCTTTCCAGCCCAGGCTGTTCCAGAAAGCCAGGCCCTCCAATACGCACACAGCAGCTCTTGACTTCAGGGCAGATGAGTATTTGCTCCTCTGGCTCATCCGGCCTGCTCATCAGGTGAGGTGTAGTGTCTACGATGCACAGGCACCCATAAGCCAGCCTCTTAAGAATTAAACAGCGCGTTCACTCATGGATGACAATATGCACAGAGGCAGGCTGATTTCATGTTTGAGGCACAAGCTTGGGAGCTGGGGCTCTGCCATTGACTCACCACATTAACCAGGACCCCTCTCAGAGCCTTAGAAACCCAGCCTGTATTCTTTGTATTGTGCTAGTGCCTAGGAACCTCCTCCATGGAGCTGGACAAGGGATGTAAAGGTGTAAACAGTTAACCAAAGAGCCTGCGCTCATCAGTTAACGTTCATGGTCACACGCAGGCTCCCGGTGTGCAAGGAGCGGCTGGCTTAAAAGCCAGCTCCCCGCACGCACCAGCTCCGGGAACTGCCTGCCACCCTGCACTCTTAACTCTGGTACAGAGGCAGCAGCGCGGGGCAGCAGGCAAGAGCTGGCTCCCCGTGCACTCCGGCTCCCAGGGAGCTAACTTCTGCCCTGCGCGTAATCACTGAAATTTCCAGCAGTTACAATGTTACTTAATTACACCTGTTTTAACATCCCCCATCTGGACCCCTCAGGCCAGGTGATGTACAATCCGGCTCCTGCCCCAAAGATTTTACAATCAAATAAGCTTTATCCAAGAGAGAAGAGGTGGGGACAAACAAGGGAGCAGAAGGAAAACGGCACTCATCAGAACAACCTGCCTCCCCTTCACATGGGGGGTTACTATGATTCTGAAAGTGCTTTGTCCTCAAATGCCCGGGTGGCTAGGAGCAGAACAGAGAGTTCTTAGCACAATCGTTGCAAATTATCAGAGACTTTCAGGGTGACACTGGGCTCTACAGTCCCTAAGAGATCTCCCTCTCCTCCCAAACTCTGCAGGCATCCTCCCCGCTTAGCTCTCCTCTCCACAGCTCCTGCTGACCCAAAGGCTCAGGAGACGGGTACAAACTCCTCCCTCTCTGGTCGCAGCCAAATTCAGACTCAGCCACCAGGGCTGCATTATGACTTTCGTGGGCCCTAGGCACTTTTGCCTTCATGGGCCCCTTCCTCCATAAAAAAAAAATTAAAAATTATTTTGTATATAACTTTAAATACTTCAACATTTTATTTTTTTCTGTTTTAGGCAAAATTTAATAGATTTTCGTGGGCCCTAAAAGTTTCATTTTTTTCCTTCTGATTTTAAAAGAAATTAAAACATTTTTGTGGGCCCCTAAAAGTATCGTGGGCCCTAGGCACTGGGCCTACTGGGTAAGTCGGCCCTGTCGGCCACTTCCCTCACTGCAGAGACAGCAAAAGAAGGTTCTGAATGATGTATGGAAATAAAAACTCATATTTTGTTTGCCTCCATATAAAGCCATGTCGCTAACAAACCCCAGTGAAATTGTGGAGGTGAACGGGTTCAGGGAATGAAATAACACACGTAGGGTACTTCTGATCACTTATTCATAGTTATACTAACACTTAGCAAGAGGGTGGCAGGGCAGAAGTGGGTGGCCTGGGAGCTACCAAATGGAAAAGCAGCTTATTTCACACAGGAAATTCCTATCCCAGCCCCAGTAAGTACAGAAGCAGCAAGCAGTGATATCTCCAGAGCTTTGGGGAAAGTCCAAGGGGGTTTGGAAACATACCTGACTTCCTTCTATCCCGGGGATGCTGCTTCTGAGTGGGGGGTCCATGCTGACCCCCAATGGCCACATGCTTGTCTTAGCCAGCCTTGCTGAAAGGAAAATGCCAGGGGTCAGCCTGTGCTCAGAAAGGGAGCAGCTCCCCTGGGTGTATTCCTGGGGGTTTCCCGTTGGCACACACTGCCTGCACCGGCGTTACTTCTAATGCAAGGAGAATGGTGGCCCGGATAGCAGTGACAACCATGCCTTGAGGGCGGGGGGCTGGACTCGATGACCTCTTGAGGTCCCTTCCAGTCCTATGATTCTATGAAGTCTTCAGTAGCCACAGCAGGCGGTAACTTAAAGATGACTAGGGTGGCCAGGTGTCTGGTTTTGACCCCGACAGTCCAGTCTTTGAGCTTTCTGTTCAGGGAACAAATTGAGAAAATAGAAACGAGCCGATAGAACCGTCGGGTGTTTTCTAACTAAGATGCAATGTCGATTGTGACGTCATGTCCAGCGGGGCCAGTGGTTTTGTTGAAACCATCTGGCCCCCCTAAGGACGAATGGATTTATTGGGGCCAAACCCGCAGCTCCTCTTCCATCTGCCAATGGCCCGAGCCTCTCGGGAGGGGGAACTTTTCTAGGGTTGGGGGCCCTTTGGTGAATAAAACACCCAAAGAAGCCCTAACCAACCCCTCATTCACGTGGCCCCCGACTGAGAAAGGCAGCCCAGAGCCGGGGGGGTCCCGCCTGGGGGGGGTCCCACCTAGGGGGAGCCCTGGGGCTCGGGGGCCGGATCCGGCCCGCGGGCCTGAGGTC